CAAGCTCACCAATTCAATCCATTCAAAGCCCTAAAAACCTTCCTTCTTGACGCTACCCATCTATTTTCATCTAAAACTTGTTCCAGAAATCGGGTTTGGTTGAAAGCAATTTTTCTTTCTCTTCGCATAGTATTTTACCCGTGTCTACAAATTTATGGCACAAAAATTTAGTAAAACTGGGGGATGTTAAATTGGTCATAAAGAGATATGGAAATTGTAAACAATGTTAATGGTGGTTGGCCCAATTGTAAGCATGACAGAGGCGGTGGTTCAATGGTTGCAAGAACTTTGCAAACTTTTAACATTTTTCTCCTTGTGAAACCAATTGCACCGGCATAACCAATTTCTTCCAATTTACAAGTAATTAAACCATCCTTTCTTTGTGTGTGCAGTATAAATTAAAAGGTGATTTGCTTTCTTGTGTGAGCCCAGTTGTGACACCAATCGCATATTTGGAAAGAGGATTGAAGTATGTGAATACGGATAGTGGTCGAAAGTTGTCCGATAGTGAGTTTTGTGGCCGGGGATGGGGGTGGATGTGTTAACGTAGATGAAGGATTTAGGAGCGAGTTTTTTTTTTGAGTTTTAATTTAATTGTTAATATTTGATTGACGAAAATACCCTTACGTACAACGGTCAAAATATCCAATTTTTGCATTTTCAGGTCAGCTGACGGTGGAATTCACATTTTCCGTCAAGTTGGATTTCAGCTGCTAATTTTTCAAAGGTTTGAGACCTTCGTTGACACAAACTGAAGATTAGGGTAACGTCTGCTTTAAATCCAAAGGTTAGGGACCGATGATGCAATTTTCACTATCCAAAAATATCCCTCTCTCTCGTTAATCCCTCCCTTCAAGATACGCTTTTGCATTTGCGCCGAATCAGAATCTTTTTTATTCACTGATTCAATTTCGCATTCAAACAAAATTTGAGGTTCTCTCTAATTCTAGGTGTATATACTGTCGCATATATAAGCACACAAGTGCATATATGTATAATATGTGTGTGTATGTATGTATATGTTGAGATTTTTGTTTGAAAACTATAGTTTGAGTTTAGTGCATGTCGATCAATGCGCAGTTTCTGTTTCGATGCTTCGAAATAGGAATGTCTTCTGCTTCTTCAATGTCAGGTAAGTGTTATTTTGGCTTTTGATTTTCGATTTTTGTTATGTGTACGAATCTGTTATTATCTCTGGTAACATGCCGAGCGTGTAAGTGGATTGAGTGTGTGGATTAATGTGATGTTGGCAGGTTCAGTGGAAGGCGTGAATATGGGTAAGTTTTGGAAAGGGTATTTGAGCGGTAGATACGATTACAGTGTGCTTTCATGCGCTTCGAAGGCTCCAAGAACGCTCTCTGTATTTCTCGCTAGCACCGCACAACCTCCTCAAGCGCGTGTACGAGCTTCGAAGAGGATTTGTATCCGACCAGTGAGTATTTGGGATTTACTATTTCGGAGTTCTATGCCCGAGTCAAGAACATAAATATTTTAAAAATGATGATGTGCCTGAGAAAGTTATGTTAATCATCTACATTTCTCTCTGTCTTTTGGGATTTAATAATTCTCTTCAGTCCTCGATGGTGAACTGAATGTTTTTGTTTAAAGTTAGGTTAGAAATATCGAGTTTTACATCAAAGTTCTTATAAAGGATTAATTTTTGGTTTATTGGAGCTTTGTGACATTGAAATTTCAAAGGGATGTAGTTTAGGAGTTGTAAGATTATTTTTTTGGACTTCCAGTTCTGATCAACTAAATTATCCTAGTCGATAAACTTGAATCTCTGGAGAGCTGATTCATGTGCATTAGGACTGAACGGATTCTTATTTAATACTAATTCAAGTGAATAGCATGGCTCCAACAAATAAATAAATAAAGCAGCTATGTTTCTTATGATTTTAGGTGGTAAATTAGTGAATGGCTTGCTGCACTTGGAGTGTAAAATATTATGTGTAACTTCTCCGTACTTCTGTGTCTGCTTGTTTGGACAAGATTAATTTTGAATGAAGTTGAACAATTCACTCAGAATTCAGCAAAAGGCATATTTTAAATACTAATAATTTCTGGCATTCTATGATTGATTATTTTAATTTTAGTTTATTTTTCACCAAAAGTTAGTGGGCTCTATTTCGTATTAATTGCTGCCTGTCATCCTCTTATTTGTGTCAGAGATCTGGACTCCATAATTTGGGAGGACTGTGTTCATATGAAGCCTCAGATTTTCTCCTTCCACAAAATCTCTTAAGCTCAAGTGTACTTCATTTAGCTTGCGGAAATTGGAAGTTGCACTGTTCTTCATCTTCTTCTTCAGAATGCTACAACGAGGTTTCTCCCGAAAGTTTGTGGGAGGTATGCCAAACAACGTACACTTGTCATAAATGGGTTCCCATACTATATAGGATTATCTAAGAAACAAAATGCAGAACCTGGGTGAGACGGGATTGCTAAGAATGTTATGAATTATGATGTATGTTGTGTAAAACAAAATGATGAATAAGAATGATAACATTGCTGAAATGGTTAAAGTAGCACTCATGAAAGATGAATTAAGTGGGAATTAGTTCAGATGGTTAGGCCAAATTGAAAGTTGTTGGGTGGATGCACCCTTTCAAAAGAATGGTACAATTATTGTAATTGTTAACCGAGAGAGCAGGAAGACCAATATCTATGGAAGAAATATAGTTCTTTTTGGATCCATGGAAGAAAGAGCACTTGATATATCTAAAATGATCCATGTAACTGACCCTAGATAGCATGGTATAAGCTTGATTGAGTTGGAACAAGATAGATATTGTGCATGAGCTCTGAAGTGTGACATCCCACAGCTAATGCATTTTTTTTGTTGTGGCAGGATCTTAAACCTACCATCTCGTATCTCTCACCAAAGGAATTGGAATTGGTCCACGATGCCTTGAATGTTAGTTTGCTTGGTCTTTATAAAATGTTAAACTACACTTTTTTTTTTATCTTCTAATATTTTGGCTGCATTTTCTCCCTACCCTCCAGAAAAAAAGAAAAAAAAAACTTCCATTTTTTAATTCTATTTGAGAATTTGTTTACGTCTAACAAATGTGATTGTAGCTCAAATGGTAAGAGTGTTGGTTTTGGTTATCAAAAAAAAAAAAATTCTATTTGTTTACCTCCACGGTTCCACCCTTTTTATGTTTTCTCCAGTTCTTATTGTTGATGTTGTTCTGGGAAACTGATTTTCTAAGATCAGAAATTGGTTAGATCAATTTTTAACCTTTTATTTTTCTGTTTTGCTTGTTGTGCAGTTGGCTTTTGAGGCACATGATGGTCAAAAAAGGCGCAGTGGAGAACCATTTATTATTCACCCTGTTGCGGTTGCACAAATTCTTGGAGAACTTGTGAGTTGTGGTTATTTCTAATTTTGACTTTTCAAATTTGATGAAGCATTTCATTTCCTTACACACATATATCCATTTACCTGAGTTTTAAATTATTTCAGGAATTAGATTGGGAGTCAATTGCTGCTGGTTTATTACATGACACGGTGGAAGATACAAATGTGGTTACCTTTGAAAGACTAGAGAAGGATTTTGGTGCTGCTGTTCGTTACATTGTGGAAGGGGAGACTAAGGTAGATTCATACAATTCATTGATTAAGAACTTTTGCTCGGATTGTACACTACTTTGTCCTTTTTTTTTTTTTTTGATCAATTCTTTGATGTTAAGTGGGAACCCAAGTTGAATATTTAATATATTAATTGTCAATGGTAGCCAGGTATCGAAACTTGGGAAACTCAAGTCTAACGATGATAATTATTCTGTTCAAGATGTGAAAGCAGAGGATCTGCGACAGATGTTTCTGGCCATGACTGAAGAGGTGATTCACTCTTGGATGTGTAGTTTGTAATGTCCCTGTTTATGTCGACAGCATCTAACAACCAAAACATTTGGTGTATCAGGTCCGTGTAATAATTGTCAAATTAGCCGACAGATTACACAATATGCGAACTCTTTCACATATGGCTCCACGTAAGCAGGTTTGTGGATTTTAATTTCGAGATCAATTGATCTCTCGATTTTGATTTCATGTTCTCACGTTTACCTACCTTGTCCAGTCTATCATAGCAATGGAGACACTTCAAGTTTTTGCTCCCCTAGCTAAACTGATTGGAATTTACCAAATCAAGGTATGCCAAACTAGGTTTGGCCTGCAGGATTTAATTGTATTATTGGATAGATGTGCAATAGATTTCTTAAAATAACTATTATCTGAATAACAAGTTTAATTTATATTGGCCTTCAATAACTGTACTTTGTCTCGTCAGTTGTCAACATTATGTATACCAGGCCCATATTAACCTTGACGAATCTCTTTGAAAGGAATTCAGGTTTGTATGGATTCCTATTCCTTCTTCGGGGCATTTACATGTGGTTTTTAGTAACTGTTCATTCAATTTGCAGAAACGGGGTGCACATACAGAAAAATCAAATGAGTATTCCTATGCAGGAACATACTCCCAAAAATTTACGTAGTTCTCGTCTCTCATGAACTAGTAATTGTTTTATCTTCTATCACGAAGTGCCTAATTTATCCCCTAGGGATGGACCACTCTAATTTACACCCTAAATGCATGCAAGTCCAAATCTCTCCTATTTCACGAATTTCTGCCAAATTATTCTTTTCCATTTTATGCATCTATGAATTTACCAACGATGACACGTGGCCTTCCTTCTGTTCAATGCAATTGGATTTGTATCTTTGATTCTAGATGTACTTATAAATTGGCCAACCGAAGTTGAACTTCTGAATTTCCAGAGGTGCATGACAACCACTAGGTCCCTTCGCCATTTTGTTGTGAAGCAGTCTACTATTTGGACTATACGTAAAATAACATTCAAAACTATCGAAAAATAATTTTCCATGCTAAGAGCATTGGAAAGAATCCAGGACTTAACTACGAAAAGTTTGATAAGCTACATCTATGTAGATGTTCTGTAGGTGTTATCAACCTTGTTCTTTACGGAAGTTAGCATCCTCATGCTGGTTTCGCTCTGTGGATCCACTAATTACTATCCTTCAGAGCACCCACAAATTCTCAGAATTCTAAACTACAAATTTTGTCTTATATGCTTACTCTGCAATCTCATATAATGATGAATTTTGTCTTATATGCTTATTCTGCAATCTCATATAATGATGCCTTGAACCGATAAAGATTTCTTTTTTCATTCATGATTTTTCCATGCTCACTTTGCAGCTACTGTCATGCATTCTTGCTCATTTTCCATTTTCCTTCTTGCAGTCTGAACTTGAAAATTTGGCATTTATGTACACAAATGCTCAAGATTATGCTGAGATCAAGAGAAGAGTTGCAGAACTTTATAAAGCACACGAGAAAGAACTCGAAGAGGCAAGTTTGCACCTGCTATGAATTTTTATTGAATGGAACTGCAAAATCTAGCTCTTACTGTATCATTCAGATTCCATCACTCATTGATACAGCTGGAATAAATTTCATGATGCACTAGCACAGTGTTGCAGATTTTTCAGTTTTATTTTATTGGCGCTTCACTATCAAAGTGTAATCTACCTAAAGGTCGTCTTTTTTGCTTCAGGCAAATAAAATACTAATGAAGACGATCGAGGGTGATCAGTTCTTAGATCTTATGACAGTAAGAACTGAAATTCGATTTGTATACAAGGAACCTTACAGGTGATCTACTGAACTCTATTGTTTCATATTTTTATTGATTTGTATGGGCAGTTAAATAATTTGAAAACGTGGACCTATCTCCTAGAGAGAGGAATTAAATCACTATATATTATAAAAAAAAGTCTTATATAATCAAGATGACTTGTTTGATTAGTATGGACTTGCTGTTATTGATTAATGGGAATTTGAGTCATTCAGAGTCTCACTATTGTGTTTCAAATTTCTTTTACTACTCTTAGCACTTTAATACTTAATATGCAGCATTTACAAAGCATTGAAATCTAAGAACCATATTAATGAAGTGAACCAAGTCGTGCAGGTATTTTTGTTATGTTTTAGCTACCATTGATAGTAAATGTCCCCCTATGTATATTTACTCTTGATTGACACTATAAAATGTTTTGATCTCCAGCTTCGAATTGTTATAAAACCAAAGCCATGTGCTGGAGTGGGGCCTCTATGTAGTGCACAAAAGGTGAATTGTTATCTATTTTAACTACTCAAATGGAGTAGGTAACCATGATTAGCAGTTTTCTATTACAGATGTGATTTATCTTTTCTAATTCTAATATGTTTTATCTTTTATTCTTATTTCTTGTTTAAAATAGGATTTCTTTTCTTTATTGATTATAATTGAATTTCTAATTAGATTAAGATTATATTAGTTTTCTTCTTTTAGTTTTCTGTTATTAGTAGAAGTATGAATAATTTTGCTTATAAATATAGAGGTATTGTACACTTTTTTGATAACATCTATTATTATTCAATAATATTCAAGAAAATTATTTTAATATTGTTTTTAATTACTACATAATTTTTATTACAAGAATTTCACAAAACACTTCCGCACCAAAATTGGTACCAAAGCAGGAAATTGCTTTAATCCGATGGCCGACGAAGGTCCAGGTGACCGTCGAACCGTAGGATGAACAGAGGCTCGACAAACTTGAACGAATTGAGGGAATCGATGAAATCCTTCACAAGATTACGCGAATGGTGACTGTGTTGAATCTTGAAAGGAATCATGAGCCCATGGAGAAACAAGCTGACAAGAATTTGCAGACTTTAACTGCTATGAATGTTGGTTGCTTCAACAAGATTAAAATACTGTAACAAGTGGCTAGAGAGCTTCCTCGAGTTTCATCCAAGTTTGAATACATGCAAGTTATTTAGGATTATATGAAGATTTATCGAGAAGATATAAAATAGTCCAATTTAAGTGCAAGAAGATTTTTAGAACACGATGCATCATTATCAATAAAGTATGCAAGTTGATAATAAATCATAAGAGTGATTAGAACTTGGTGTATAAAGCATTAGTGAATGTTTTAAATTTAAAGACGGGAAAATACTTATCTTGTTATCAAACTTCACAGGGACAATATCTTTAAAATATAGAGGCATGTAAAATCTCACTTTCTTTTGGAAAGTATTACAAAGATAAGATTATATGTAACAAAGAAAGTATTACAAAGATGAGATTATATGTAATGTGGTAGAGATAGATGATTGTCTTATACTTTGTGGACAATCATGGTGCTATGGTGTAGATTCCAGTTACGTAGCTCGAGTTAATAGGTATGTGTTTAGGTGTTACGATAAAAATATTGTTTTTATGTTATGTGACGAGCAATTTGTGAGTACCAACATAAACAAAGAGAAAAAGATCCATAAGGTAGATAATGAGGTTAAAAGATATGTAATTCAAAATAATAAAGATGTTATCGTCCATGATACTAAAACAGAAAAAGAAAAGCACATGCAAGTTGAAAATCTAAGACTTGCTGATTCCTTATGTGTGGAAACTGCAATTGAAAATTTCAAGATCGAACTGCATTCAATGATGAACAAGTTGAAGCTCAGAATTGTCCAATAGGAGAGGAAGAAATTAAACTTTTCAATCACGAGAGAGTCAAAGGTGAAGATTGTCAAATTGAGAATAAAAATTTTTTCGAACTTTTATACGGTTTCAGTGTTAAAGAATTGCATAAAAATAAGGAAAACATGGACGATGAGGATTTGAATCCGCGTACCGGTTCTTTTGAGTTGAAGAAAGCATTATAGCAGAAAATGAGAAGTATGAAGAATTGAAAATAGAACCAGTGGCCTCTATCGAGAGCGAACTTAAGAATGAGAAATCGAATCATGCTTCCTTTATGAAGGAATGTCATGTATAAATTATCCGTGAAGAAAATACAAGCAGGATGACAGGATTAAAATTGACTTTAAATAATGCAATTGAAGAATATAACGACGTTTATCGAGTACATCAATAAATTGAAATTTCTTCAACATTAGTATTGACAATTATTTTTGAGTATTTTCCTCCCGATTTATTTTTTTCTTCAAAAAAACTCAAGGGTGAGTTTTATTCACGTGGAGGGGATTGATGTAGTACATGACTATGATTAGTAGTTTCCTACTACAACTGTGATTTATCTTTTCTAGTTCTAATATGTTATATCTTTTATTTTTATTTCTTGTTTAAAATAGGATTTCTTTTCTTTATTGATTAGAATATGATTTCTAATTAGATTATGATTTTATTAGTTTCCTTATTTTATTTTTCTATTATTAGTAAAAGTAAGAAATAAATTTGCCTATAAATATAGAGGCATTGTACACTTTTTGGATAACATTTATTATTATTCAATAACATTGAAGCAAGTTATTCCTATACTGTTCTTAATTACTACATAATTCTTATTACAAGTTGTCTTCTGAATTAAAGTTACACATTCGCCTTCCCAGTTTGATACACTGACTGAAGTTATACTTGCAGATATGCTACCACGTTCTCGGATTGGTACACGGAATTTGGACCCCAATACCTCGAGCTGTATGTTTATCTGTTCCTTGCTTTGCTTCTAATTAAGTTCTCTTTAGTGCATATTGTTTTCTTCACCTATTCCCTTTTATTCCTCCCTTATATCTTACTTGGGGCTACAGATGAAAGACTACATAGCAACCCCGAAGCCTAATGGCTATCAGAGTCTTCATACTACTGTGATTCCCTTTCTTTATGAGAGCATGTTTAGACTGGAAGTTCAGGTTAATTATTAGTGTTCATTATATCCTTCTTTTGCAGTTTCTCATCTTTTATTATCTTTGTCTGTTGAGGAACCGGCTTGTGTTGTTAATATCTTTAGTTGATATGATACGCGTTCAGATAACAAAATTTGAATGTTCAGATAAGAACTTTCTGAAAGTTACTAATATGGTTAGCAGATAAGAACTGAAGAGATGGATTTGATTGCTGAAAGAGGGATTGCTGCGCATTACAGTGGGAAAGTTTTCGTGAATGGCTTAGTTGGACACGTTCTGCCAACTGGTAGAAGCTCCCGAAGGAAAATAGTTTGCCTCAACAATGCCAATGTTGCCCTCAGGGTATAATCTTCCTTTGCAGTATCATCTTTCCCAAAATTTTCCTCTTCGTGAGGTTTTCTATTAATGCTCTTATCTCTGACTGCATCACTAATTCTATGTTACAAGTCCTCTTTTTCTTTCAGATTGGCTGGCTGAACGCAATTAGGGAATGGCAAGAGGAGTTTGTTGGGAATATGAGCTCTAGAGAATTTGTGGATACCATCACTGGGGATCTTTTAGGCAGTTGTGTCTTTGTATTTACATCAAAGGGAGAGGTAATAGAATGACCATCTATGTTAGCTTCTGTTTATTGATGCTTATTTAGTTCTGTGACACTGCTACAGATTAAAAATCTGCCTAAAGGGGCAACTGTCATTGATTATGCATATATGATACACACTGATATCGGCAACAAAATGGTTGCTGCTAAGGTATTTTTCTCATGTTTGTCTGGTATTTCGTGCTTTGTGAATTTGGGTCTTATCGTTATTTTTCTATTGCAGGTCAATGGTAATCTTGTATCTCCAACGCATGTGCTTTCCAATGCTGAAGTTGTGGAAATAATAACCTATAATGTTAGTTGATGTGAATCTTTCACTCCTCTTTACTCGTATTCTCCTGGAATCAGAAGTTTATTGCACAGTCCACTTTTATTCTGGGCCCTTTTGGCATGGCTTTTGAAAAGCCAAAAGGAGCTTTTGAGATCTAAAAGCTGCTTTTGGACCCGTTTGAATAATTTTAAAAGTGTTTCCGATAGTTAGAAGAGCTTTTAGAGGAAGTTGGTCCATTGTGGCTTCCTCTAAAAGCACTTCTTGAATAAAAGGTGTTTTTAAAAATTAGTTTTCAAGCAAAAATTAAGGTAGCTTCCTTCAGAAACTCCACTATAGGAAGCAAAAGTTATGCCAAACGACCCTCTATATATTATGTTTTGCATACCTGAGGAGACTAATATTGAGTTCCACTTTCCTTGTATATAAAGTAAAGCGTATTGTTACTTTCTTCTCATTTAGAATTACTACATAAT